CCCCCCTGTCAGCAGCCCCACCCCCTACCCATCGCCTCGTCCGAAAACGTACCCGGAGTCTTAAATCGCGCTGTATGTGTACCTACAAGTGGTGAAGGTGCGCCCGCTGGTGTTCGTCCTCAAGCCTCTCGTGGTGCAAGCACGGTGCAAGCTCCTGGACGCGCCTCGGCACGCCCCGACCGCAGGACCGCAGCCCCGCACGATGATTCAGCCTGCCGGCCGCTTCCACCCGCCGCCGTGGCTCGAGGAGGGGAGGCGGGCGGTCAAGCAGGGCACGGTGCATCCAGGGGCGGGCGTCCAGGAAATGTGGTGCGTCACCCACGCGATCCAACGAGTCCGTCTGAAGCGTGTTCTGGAATTATTGTTCTTCTGGAGTTCAGCGTCAGCGCCGGTAGGCTCAGTCCCGATAACACACTTCCTGGAGGTGTCAGTGGTGTCACGCGGGGTGTCCCGTCCTGAACGCCCAAACAATGTGCTGTCCTGGAGTCGTCTCCATCGCTCTCTGGATCTGGATAGCGCTCGCACGCTCCGTGCCCGTCGAGCTTGTGTCGCAGCTACCGAAGGGCGGCAGACTCGCGCGGGGCTCGAGCAGCGCTGGATAAAGCGTCCCGGCGGCAGACCCGCGTCCTTGCCGAACCGCAGCGAGCCGGTCGTTACTGAGATGACCACAGTGTGGTCAAACTATATATTCCATACTCATCAGGGAAGGACAGCTTTCACCGCCCCTCACCTCGCCCACCAACCGCGCGTCCGCCGGTAAACGAGACCGAAAGTGGTCGTGACGGCTCCCCGTCCTCGGCTCGCCCGCTCTCCTGCGTCACTGACCTGACTGACTGCGCGCGCAGCGCCAAAACGGGGAATTCCACGGCGTGATTATTTTCACCTCCTTGCAAACAAAACCGAAGCCCGTTTCGTACCGTCCCTGTGGGTGTTCTGTGGCGGAGGTCTGCATCGGTCGGCACACCATGTAGCGTCCGAGTGCGCTGCAGGTGTGAGTGAGCGAGACAGTGAACCCTGCAGCACTGTAGCTGCGACGGTCAATTTTCACCGAAAAATATCACTAAGTTAGTGGCGGTGTATTTAGACTGCCGTGCCTATTTTTCTCCAACCTGGTGATTTTTCCAAAATCCCAACAGGTACTGTCCGACCTAGATTTTGTCCGACCTATTTTTCTCCGACGTCGTCGATGCTCTGGTAACGGCTCCCCCCGAGACTAAGGTGATATAGAGGATAGGTGGGCGCAAGCGCTCCTATTGGGGGAACCACTTCCCTCGTCACCCAATGACAGGTCAGCGCGGGGAGGGATTAGCGAGCCCCGGGCCGTCCCAGACTCCAGCCAGCCCTATGCTACCTGTACTACCTGCTAGGGATTTCAAACCGACCGGCGGAGCGGCGGGAAGGAACCGTTTTCCCCCACCACGCCCGCTTGCGGCCACCTATCCTCTATATCACCTTACCCGAGACTGGTGGACCGACAGATGCAGGGACCTGGTGGACGTGACGTCTCACTGCTGAGAGAGTGCGGGCGCTCTCTGGCGCTCTTCGCCGTTTTGTTTTGTAGGGATGCAGCTGCGTCAGTACGATTAGTGATTAGGCAAAACAAGGATCCACTTCCGGTACGAGCCAAACTGCGGAAGCTAAACACGTAAATGTTTAGTGCTGTTCTTCCACAACAAGCCTCACAGACAGACGCACGCACACACTCACTCTCTCTCTCTCTCACACACACACAACGCAGCGATTGAACGCCGATAGCTGCCGCACATGTTCCAGAGCATCGACTCCACCAGGACTTGCAAGGTCAGCAGAGTGTTGACCGGCCGGCACTGTGCCCCTCTCCCCTCCGTTTCCCCTCCTCTGTCCCTCCCTCCCCCCTTAGCAAGAAACAAGGTTTACAACTTACTGTAGTTCATCAAGCTCTAAATTCAATGAAGTAATGAGGCAAAACTTTAGAATGAGTGAATTCACAATGTCACATTTAATCGAGAGCTTAATACCATGTGCATTCAGTACATAATATCTTCGAAAGTGCGCGGCATGAGTCAGCCACCTGGTACATAAGACACACTGTATTTTTTTTAAAGGAGGACCTACCCCCTACTAGCAAAGCGTGACCACATGGTGGTTACGCTGAAAAGGACGTGTTAAAAGACCGACTCGAATTTCGAGCAACTTTTCCCCCTTGTAGTCGAAGAGTGCAAAACTTTACCTACGGCAGTTTCTCATGCCGCCCCGCTCCTCGCCCATTCTGGGCTCAGAGACCTGAATGCGCGGGAGGCCGTAGCACCCCAGGCTGGCTGCGGGCCGCCGCCTCAGCCTTCTCAGCCGCGCGCCGGCCGTCCGGACTAGGCTACACACGCCTCGGGTTCCGGCGGCGAGCGCAATGCTAACCCACTAATTCTAGAGCAGCATAAAGCAAGCTCTTCAGTTCCGGAGCGGTGTAAGTTTCCGGTGGGCGCAGCTCCGCGCTCCGCGCAGCAGCAGGTGGGCGGGACGGTGAGGCTCGTCCCGCCCAGGGACCGCGTCACGGCCACCGGCCGGGCGCCAGCGCGGGCGCCAGCGACCACCGGCTCAAGGATGGAGGTGGCAGGGCCGGGACGTGGCCGTCGGCACGCAGCCGCACGCAGCCCCAGGAGCGCACCATGTGCTGCACACCAGCCCCAGCCGAGGACTGGTTGAGGGCGGTCCGGGTCAGTGTCGGTGGCCACTTCCTAGACGCCAGGCGTGGTCAGAGACTTGAGTGTTTTATGACCACGCGTTAACTTTGTGCAGGTCTCTCTCCCTCCCTCTCTCGCTCTCTCCCTCCCTCTCTCCCTACCTCCCTCCCTCTCTCCCTCACTCACTCATCCATCGCACTATCTCCCTACCTCCCTCTCTCCCTCACTCACTCGCTCCCTGTTGTTTCCCTTCCTCCCCCCATCCCTCACTTACTCACTCACTTACTCACTCACCCACCCAACACCCTCCCTCTCCCTCTCCCTCTCCCTCTCTCCCTTCCTCCCTCTCTCCCTCACTCACTCACTCACTCACTCACTCACTCACTCACTCACTCACTCACTCACTCACTCACTCACTCACTCACTCACTCACTCACTCAC